TTTTTTTTTTAATAATCAAAACTTTTTTTTTGAGAATTATTATATTATTTAAAAATAATTAACTTCAATTCATTATTGAAGAATAAACAGTTTACACGTCAGCGTTTTTTAAAGAAAAACAAAAGAAAATTGGTTTTCATTTGGTAATGAATCAATAAAAAGAATGAAGGAAAATAGAACAAGTGAATTTGAAGGAAGATTTATTGCTTGAAAAATAAATATACTTTTGAAAAGAGTGGATTTGTTTGTTACATTTTTTCGAAGAAATAACTAGGATATCGCTGAAATGCTTAACAAACTTTATAATAAATAACTCAAATAATTTAATTTATGGAGAGTCAACGAAAATATATCTATATAGACAATTTGATTGAATTGTTTCCATCAATAAAAATTTTATTTAATGACGTTTATGAAAAAGATATATTATTCAAAAGTGCAGAAGAAGAATTTTGTATCATTAGTACTAAACTTTCTCATTTCTTTTCAAAGAAAGAAATTAGTTATGAAGATAAATTTATTTTATTTAAAGAACTTGCTATAAACTCAATAATAACATATCATCAATCATTAAGTGATATTCAAAAACGAATTATCAATTATTTAAATAGTCTAAATTATCCAGTCTGTGATATTGAAGTAAAAAAACGAAAAACTGATAGAAAAGCATTAGATGAGTATTTGAGAAAAGTATTTACAACATATATGACTGTATTAACAAATATGAGAAAAACTAATACTGTAAGTATTGATGATTTATTAGGAATGACAGATTGTAATGGTAAAAAAGAACGAGAATATTGGGTAGAATACATCATAAGAGAATTAAATAATACTCAAGAAAAAGGGTTAGTTGAAATTTTAACATATTTAAATTATAACACAAAAGACCCTGATGTTGAAATTGATTTATCACATATTTCATTAAAACAATTAAGAGAAATTCATCAAATAATTAAAATATATTCAAAATAAACATTTAATTTATTTATAAATTTTTTATTTTTATTTTTTTTGATTTAAAAAAATATTGGAATTATACCTTTAACTAAATTTATAAATAACTCCTCTCTAAACTATTTTCTTAAAATTTTAATTAACGTAAATTAATCACTTCTCTTTTTTATTAATTTTCTTATAATTTCATGAAAAATCTTTTGTAAGTTTAGTTCTTCTTTATTGATTTCAAGTTTTTATGTTCTTTGCTCAAAACTTCATTTTTATCAATAAATAAGTTATCGTCTTCTGATTTTATGTTATAAACAACTTACATCTATGAATGATTAATGTCTTTATCTAACTATAAAAAGTTCAGTTCTAAATGGTTGTATTATTTCCATTTATGTTTAAACCAAATCACACAATATTTAATTCTAAAATCAATACAAAAGATACAAAAAAGGTTATTTAATAATTGTTTTCAACGTCATTTTATTTTTTTTTGTTATAACATTTTTTTATAAAAATGAAGAATGATAGAGAAAAATCAACGAGAATTTTTAAATTAAATTATCTTAACAAATAAGAAAAGTTCTGTCGATAGCATATTAGTTGTAGTGTTGAGTTAACAGAATGACTTTATAATACTTTCAAAAAGATAATCCAATTATCAAATAAAGAATTTCAAAAAAAATAAAATAAAAAATATGTTTTTTATACAATAATGATAGTTAATGATACTAATTATATAATTAAAGTTAAAATTCTCATTAGAATTAAAGAAAAACTATATAAATAGTTTTAAAAATTAATACAAAAAAGAGAAAAAAGAGTCTTAAAAAATTGTTTCAAAAAGAATAAATAATTCCAGTTCATTTTAATGTCTTCTGAAGGTTCCTCTTCCAATAATAATTTTGATGATTATGATGATTCAACTGATTCTTCAGAAGAAGAATTTATTCGTCAACAAGCTGAAAAAGCTAAAGTTCATTTACCAAGAAAAAGTAGTACAATTCTTATTGAAAAAGGAAAAACAGCACAACTATTAGCTGATAATAACATTGACCATACTGAGTATGATAGTGATGACGAAGACCTTAATTGTTCAGATGTTTGTTATATTATAAAAGTATTAGTATTAAAATACTCATTTTTAGCTCTCTGTTTATGAAACTTCTACTCAATGTACTTCAGCCGTCGCTCATACTTCTGGAAGAAGAAATTATAATGAAGATCGTATTTGTGTTGCCACAAATATTGAAGGTGCTGATCTTTTTGCAGTTTTTGATGGTCATAATGGGCATGAAGCAGCTACATTATGTAGAAATAAATTAAAACAAGTATATGGTTCATGTCATGGAAATATTAATGATACATTCCAATCACTAAATGATATTGTTTCAAAAGAAACAACTGCGGGTTGTACTGCTACTATTGTTGCTATTAAACAAAATAGTATTGAAGTTGGTAATTGTGGTGATTCTCCTGCTTATGTAATAAGAAAAGATAAAAGTATTGAAAAAATTACTTATGACCATAAAGCTACTGATCCAAAAGAAGAAGAGATGATTGTTAAAAATGGTGGTGTGGTAATGAATTTGTTTGGTACTAAACGTGTTAATGGACAAATTATGGTAACTAGAAGTATTGGTGATAGATCACTTCATCCTCCTATGACATCTATTCCAACTACCAAAATAATATCAAAAGAAGATATTATTTCCATTTGTGTAATGAGTGATGGTGTAACTGATGCATTAACTGATCTTGAAATTCGTGATATAATGACTAATGGTCAACCAATTGAAATTCGTGCCCAAACAATTAGGAATCAAGCATACAAAGAAGGAAGCAAAGATAATATTTGTGTTGTAGTTGTGGATCTTTAGATGTTAAGATGTTATTGCATTGAATTCAAATATAAAAATTATAAAAGGCATTTACTTTTAATTTTTCTTTAGACTTTTAGATAAAAAAAAACAATAAAAATCAATTAAAATCCTTTTTCTAATAGTTGTTTTCCTTGATTTGTTAGTGTTAATGTTGCTTTTCTCTTTGCTAATTCAAGAAGATCATGTTGTATTTCCATTTCAAGTCTTTCAATTTGTTTTTGTGCAATTTCTTTTGCCTCATTAATAGAAACTTCAAGATAAAATCCTAAACCAACACCAACAAGCATCATATTTTTTTTATTAAATTCCGCTTTTACATGAATACCTTCTCCAATATTAACAAGAGTTTCTTTATCAGCTGATTGAATAGAATTAGTATGAACAAGAAGAAGTTCATATCCTTGTTGTTTTAAACGAAAAGCATTAATACGATCATCAATACATAACATATCTCTTTCTATTGTTTGAACAAATTCATCTGCTCTGTGAATAGCATCTTCAGTTTCTTGATGTACTTTTTCTCTTTCAGTCATTGTTTCTCAATTTTTAGTTTTGAATTAATTTCTTTTTTTTCTTAAAACTATAAACCCTCAAAATATCAAAAGATGCAACCAATCACTCCAATGGATTGTACACCTGAACATCAACCAAAATTACAACCTTTTGATGGATCTCTTATTACAGAACCACCAGTTAGAGCAATTATTGGTGGAAAAAAGAAAATAGAAGAACCAACTGAAATACCAATTGATAAGAATTATAAACCATTGTTCATTAAAAAAGTAGGAACCGTTGTAAAAATTGTTGAAGGAAAAAGTTTAGTTCAAGGTGGTTATGGAGTAATTAATAATGGAACTATTTTATACTCACAAGATAAAGAATTTCTTGGTCAAGTAGATGATATTTTTGGTCAAATTACTGACCCTTTCTATATTTTTGATGGAACTACTGACATAGGACAAGACGTTTATGTAGAAGATGTTCAAAAGAATTTTGTAAATGTTGACGAAGTGAGTAGAAAAGGAACTGACCGTGAAGAAGGAGATGGAGAACCACCTGAATTTTCGGATGATGAAGAAGAACGAGAATGGAAAGCAAAAAATAAATTACTTAGACAAGAACAAGCAAAGAGTAAATCAACAGTTGAAATGCCAATGATGGAAGATAATTATTTTGATTGAATGGATTTTTTGTTATTAAAAAAGGGTTTGATTAGAAATTTAAAACTGAGAAATTATTAAAACTTATGCCTCGAATAGGCAATCATAAAAATACTACACGTAAATCATCTCATTTTCAACCTAAATTAGTTGGAACTAAAAGAAAACATCCTCAATTCGCTCGAAGAAAACAAAAAAAAACAGAACAAAAAGAAAATGAAGATAGTAATGACAAACAACAAAACGAGTTTAATGAAGAACAAAACGAAAGTATTAAGCCAGTAAAAAAAACGAAAAAAAATCTTTCTCAACAAGAACAATTTGATATTATTGAAGAAATGAGTAAAAAATATGACCAAAAAATACAAATAAATAATACAATTGATGTTTGTTTATTTCTATTTATTAAATAAAAATAAATTATTTACAAAATAGACTGAGAAAGTTAAAAAAGTTGAAAAGAAAGTTGCTCGAAAATTAATGAATAAACAAAAGAAACAACAAATTAAAGATTCAATTTATGAAGAATTAAGAAAACAATTACATTCTAAAACAAAATAATTGAGAATATATTTTTAAATATGTTTTATAAAACAATTATTTGAATAATTCAATAATAATAATTATAATAAAGAATAATGAATTAAAAAAATTATTTTTTATTAATGACTCATTGCAAAAATAAACTCCAATTTTTATTTTTATTTTGAAATTTATAT